TCTTTTATTCCAGAGGTTGAATTTCAAGTGTCTTGCAGATGGGACTTCTGTTTCTACCGTGGTAGTGTGGTTGAGCACCTTGATGGTCATACAGATATCGTCCATCAGCTTTTATACAGTGATTGGCTACCTTGGTCAGATCCCTTGCAGCTCCAAAATAGAGTCACTTCTTATTTATGCTGCTTTTAATATTAATAAAAATTTTGCAGGGGAATGGGGAGAAGGGATTTACTGCTTCGACGCTATTGGAGAAGAGAGGATGATGGCACATATGGTACTGATGTTCTGAAGGGAATTTGGCATTTATTGTAATGAAGATTTGGAGCTTGTGATTTTCTGATTTGACTGAGAATCATTCTGTTATTTTCACAGTAATTCTTTACCATTCTGTGATACACAAGAAGTGTCCCCCTCAAAGTGGCTACGTCCGTGCTTGCCTTAAAAGTAATGTATGCTTTGAATATATAAATTTAGAATAATCATTTCCCTTATAAATTCAATGTGGATATTTACTTGCCTTTTTATTTCTTCCCTCAATGGCAAATGATGAGAGACACTTAAGAAGGTAAATTTGTATTTCCAAATAAAGAGGAAATTTTAGAGAAGCAGAGAAGCAACTCAATTTCTTTCTTAATTCTAGCTCCTCTTCTAACCATTTGCTAAGTTTGAGGGCATCCACTTTGATTGTCAAACACTCTTACTGTACTGAACTTGTGTTTGATCAGCCAATAACAGGCTATGTTACTGTCTTCTGCTATACTCACAATTTCGTAGTTCAACTTCAAATCAATATGTGTTTTCTTTTCATTATGACATCAATCGCAGTAATGTCAAACTTAAAGACTAGATTTTTATGTAGGGGATAGATTGAAATTTAGAAACATCGAACTAGATGTAGATTATATTGTTTTTAAAATGCTTTTAAGGATGAGAACTACAGAAAGAAGTGGTTGTTAGAAACTACTGTGGCTGTAGATGGCTCCAGAGCCTGCATGTCTAGTTGTCTCTTATTGCTCCCTTATTTATCCCTCTCCACTAACATGGAAAATAGCTTAAATGTAGTTATTTGGGCTTTGGATGAATTTTTAGCATCCAACTAAATTCTTTCTTTTTCAAAAACATGCAGGTGGTGGTTATGTTATCACTCCTGTGAATGATGGAAGTAAGTCACTAGTGAAACACATGCTTGCTATTGATTGGAAGTACTGGAAATTGTACCTCTGTCCATCAGCTTCTAGATCCATCACCATTCGTATGCTTGAAAAAGTCGCAGGTACTTTCCACTCATTAATAATGGTCGAACTTTGCTGCTTCTACACTTTTGTAAATGTTTCACATGAGATGCTTTTACAATTGGCAGCATTACGGGAGTTATTCAAGGCCAAACAAGGAAATTCTTCCCCTGACTCCTATGGAGAATTTACAATGGAAACGGAGTTGGACCACATGAAGAAAGAGGATATCCAAACTAAAGCTCAAGAACCAGAAGAGATTAGCAGGACTGACAGGGATACTTTGATTGCGGATGAGGTGGAGAAGCCAGCCTCTGGGCGCGCAAGTCTAATGGACCTTAATGATACATCAGACGAGTTCTTTGATGTTCCAGAAGTATCAGACTCAACAGATTATGATTGCTTGGAGAATGAGTGGTCTTTTGAATCAAGTCCAGGATTGCCCACTCTGGTACTAACTAGTCCAAGCTTTAAATGTTGCTCGTTAGAGTTAGCCAAAGCAAATCATAAGGGATTAAGTTTTCATTTTGTTTCATTTTCATTAGATTTATGATTTATGAACATAATGCTCTTGTTAAAATGAGTTACAAAGTTAATATGGTATGTATCAAGTAAAGTTTTTTGAAAATAATGGCATATAGATAGATATTGGGCATTATAAAAATTATGGCTTTCTTCACCCTCAAGAAATGCTTAGGCATGGTATTGGGTGGTGTTATGAGGTTTCATTGCCAATATTAACAACAATGAATACACTGGATAATGATTCTTGCTTATATAATTGTAATTTACCATGTTGGTCACAGAGAAAATGATTTTTATAGAGTTAGATATTGACATGATCCTTTTTAAAGATTTGCAGTAGTTGGAAGTAGACTATTATTAATCTTTTTCCTTCTATTATATATGTTTGTCTGCCAAACTTATTTAACCCCCTTGAAACATGCAGAATGGACAACAGCCCAAGTTACCATCAGCAGCTGGTCTTGTGAAAAAATTGCAGGATCTTGCAAGTGAGTTCAAATGTGGTGGCCAAATCCTGGAGATGATTGAATGACGTTTTTTCTTTTATTTGTGCCTATTTAAGGTTTATCTCAACCTTATTCACTTTGCAGCCCAAAAGAAGGGTTATATGGAGTTACAGGAGGGGACAACGGAAGAAAACAGTATCACAACTTACTCCTGTGGAACCACACTTCAAAAAGACCCAGCTTGCAATGTGCCTTGTAGTTGGGCTGTGGGTGATTCTTCAGCATTTTTGATACGTGGTGAAAATTATTTAAAAGACCATCAAAAGGTGTTCACACTTATTCTGCTAATGAAGTTAAGAATGTGAAATCAAGACAGATTAATTTGGAAGCTCTGTTACCTGAAAATAAAATGGAGAAAGAAACTTTATGGCTTTTGATCATGTTAATTTGAATATATTCTTGCTTACCAGGTAAAGGCAAAAGGCACCTTGATGCAAATGGTTGGTGCTGATTGGCTAAAATCTGACAAACGACAAAATGATCTTGGTAGCCGCCCTGATAGTATTGTTCAGGTTTGAACTATTGTCCTATGCAATTTCTAATGTTTGAGTACACAGTCATTAGGAACAGATCAATGAGGCAAAACATACCTTTTGCTTGTAAATTCACAGAATTATGCAGCACGGGGTGGACCAGAATTTTTCTTTGTTGTTAATATCCAGGTACATTTGATTCATATTGTTACTTGATGCTGTTATTATTATCACCACACTTAAACTCATGATGCCATTATGATGAAACAGGTTCCTGGTACAACCATGTATACCCTAGCGTTATACTACATGCTAAAAACTCCTTTGGAAGAGCATCCCTTGCTACATAGTTTTGTAAATGGAGATAACGCATATAGGAACTCAAGATTTAAGCTCATACCATACATTTCTAAGGTTAATAATACTTCATTTCTAGAACATGATTGAGAGTTTCTTGAATTAGCATTTTGCCTTCAACAAATTTTCTCTTCAGGGATCATGGATAGTCAAACAGAGTGTTGGAAAGACAGCATGCTTGATCGGTCAAGCTCTCGAATGTCATTATTATCGTGGGACAAATTATTTGGAGGTAAATGAAATCTTTGAGTAAAGAAAGAAAGCAACTTGCAAAAACTTGCTCTCTCATGTGCTAATTCTTAAATATGTTCAAATTTCAGATTGAAATTGATGTTGGGTCTTCAACAGTGGCAAGGGGGGTAGTTAACCTTGTTCTTGGATACCTTAACAATTTGGTCATAGAAATGGCATTTTTGATACAGGTAAGCCTGTTTTTCATGCTGACAGAAGTAGATGAGTTAAACAACAATGCATAAAACTGCATGTATACGCCACTTGAATATGTGTGTGTCCCTTTTGTCAAATTGAACTTTGTGGTAATCTTGACTCGTTCTCCAGGGTAACACACAGGAGGAGCTCCCGGAATCCCTTCTTGGGACATGCCGGCTCAATTATCTGGATGTAGCAAAATCGGTCCTGGCAATGCCATGAAGTAGAAGAAATTCTTGTTTCCTTACATGGGAGGAAGATGAGAAGGGATAATACATCATACGCCGAGAATCAACTCGGTTGTATCGATTTTCCCCAATTTTTCTCTCTTCCCTTCCAGCCACATTGAAATTTGTCAGGAATGTAAAAATGACTCATTGGTTTTTGATAATTTGTGTGTGGCAATTCAATTTGCAAAGGCTCTTTCCTTAATCAAACAGGGTCTTTTTTCTTCAAAATTCTGTAAATGAACAATAAAGACTAACAGAAGCTCATCTTTATGACATAGTTAAGTTGTAACAGCAAAGGATTTATCGATCTTAAATGCCTGTCTTCTACGATGGTTGTAATGCAGTGATTCTGTCAGTTTCATGGGAGAATTAAACATGAAACATTGGCCTTTTCTTCTGTCATCTCCATGTTTTCATTGTTTCTGCGCGGTCATTGTACTGTTATAACTAGGGTTCAAGATGTTATTTCAACATTAAAAACATCAAAATTAATGATAACGAAACCTTAGGGCACGTTTGAAGCTTCAAAATCATGATGGAACTTCCGATTGAGTCCTCATTTGGGTCGTTACCTATTGTACACTACTCCCCTTCTTAAAATATTTGTAATCCTCTATAACATATAAAGTTTATATGTTATATGTTTATAATATATTATATTTTTTTGAACAAGTTACACTTTTTAGAGAAAGAGGACTCAAATATCAACTCTATAGTTTTAAAGTGCATATTTTGATTAGATATACAGTCATTGGATCACGAGACTCAAATACGTTTATAATATGTCATATTATATCATAAATTTTTTAAAATAATAACAATAATAATAAACCATAAATTTGTGGGGAGGAGTATGCTTGATATGATTATTGATTAGTTACATTGTTTCTAACCCTGAAAATGTCTTGAAGAAGCGTGGGATGCCACTCTTCAATGGACCCTTTACAACATTGGGTAGAAATGTGCCGACCCAAGAGTGCCGACATAATTCCCACAACACCCTCATTAATCAACCCAAAAGAAAATCTTTTACATGGGTAAACTGGTCATTTTACAAATCATTCCTAAAGTTGAGGAAACATCTTCGTCCCCATGACTGTCGGTTGATTTCTGCATCCATGTGGTATGTGGAACCAATCAAAGATGTGAAATTACTATTTTATGTTATCTTATTGTTTGAAATTTTGTTTTGTACCATTAATAAAATTTCAAATTCGACCACAAAAAATATAATTTCGAATTTTAAAAACAAAGTTGTAGCTAAATCTCAATGCAAGCGTCGCCTTCGCTGTCCGTTTTCCAGGCACTTAAAACGGTGGTCACCGATGGCTACAAATATATGGTACTGAAATTTTCCAAGTCACAATCACAAATTCACAATAAGCAAAAAACAACGAAAATTATAGAATGGACCAACAAATGGGACGAAAAAATCACAAACATTAGCGTTGTGAGTCCCATGCCATATTGATTGTTGATGGTGCGCTGATTTTTTGTCCTGTTTTTTTACCCATAAATCAATGAAATTGATAAATATTAGAATGTTCTAATAATTAAACTATCAAGAAAAAAAATTAATATATCCTTAATAAATCAACACATATAAACAATAAATTCATTACAAGTTATAGAGTATATTATATAAAGTATTAAATT